CGTCGCGGCGGCCGAGAAGGCGTCCAAGGAGTTCGGCGCGACGTCCTCGGAGGCCAAGTCCGCCTGGGCCGTCGTCGAGGAGCTCAACGACTCCCTCGACCAGCCCGCGGCCGCGCTCCCGGGCCTCGACCAGGCGTGCGTCACCGCGGCCATCGACAAGTGCGCCGCCTTCGACGAGGCCATGGACTCCCTCGACAAGGCCCTCTCGAGCCTCTAGGCGGCCGCCGGGCGGACGGAAGCGACCCGGGGGCGCCTCTCGGGGGATCCGGGGATTAGAGAAAATCGACCGCGCCGGCGGCGGAGTCGCGGATCTCCGCGGCGGGCGCGGCGCGCGATCGGGCGAGGGAAGATGAGCGAGGCGAGGGGCGGGCCACCGGCGGGCGCGCATACGCGGCGCTCGTCCCGCGCGGGAGAGCGCCGCGCGGCGCCCGGAAACGAAGCGGCGCGCCGGGCCCCGGGCCGCCCTAGACCGTGAACTTCGTGGAGGCCTGCGGCGGCGCCTCGTGGCGCTGCTCCGCGTTGAGCTTGCGGTAGAGCTCCGCGTCCTTGGCGTTGGAGATGGCGCGCTGCGCGAGCTGTTTCGGGCGCTGCGCGTGGTTCAGCTTGCGCATGCCCTGGATGCGGCTCACGTAGGCCTTGGGCGTCGGCAGCTTGAGCTTGGAGAACTGGGCCTCGAGGTTCTTCTGCATCCACTTGAGGCAGTTGCGGAAGACGGAGTCGGTGACCGTGTCCTGGTCGTGGAGGTAGATGGCGAAGTTGCGGAGCTCGTCGTCCTTGACCGTGCCGTCCTCGTGGACGAAGACGACGGCCTGCTCCGGGTCGAGGCCGTTGGACTTGACGTAGGCGACGAAGTGGCGGATCGCGTTGTTGTACTGCGACCGCAGGCTGTCGGTGAACCGGAGCGTCTCGAAGCACTCGTCCTTGGGGTCGTCGCTGTAGCCCATGCGCTGGCGGTTGACCTTGGGCGCGTTCTTGCGCTTCCGCGCGGCCTTCTTGGGCTGCTCGCCGTCGGCGTAGGCCGCGCCCCGCATCGCGCCCTGCGCCGCGAGGTACTGCATGTCGGGCACGCCGCGGACGTTCGGGCCCATGGGCGCGGGCGCGCCGGCGGCGCCCGGCGGCAGGCCCTTGCCGTCGGGCGGCATGGGCATCCACCCCGGGGGGGGCGGGCCGAACTGGTGGTGCATCATGGGCGCGTAGAAGACGGCGCCGGGCGGCGGCGGGCCGTAGGGGCCGCCGGGCGCGACCATGGGCTCGCTCCCCGGGGGCGGGGCCATCTGGCCCCCCGGGGGGCGCGGCGGGGGCGCGCCCTCGCGCCCGGGCGGGTAGGGGTAGAATCCGTGGGGCATCATCGCGCGGCTTTTACCCTTCTATCACTGTTGGCGCCGCTCGAGGTGCTTCACCCGACGCCGACGGAGCCGCAGCTTTCGCCCACGCGGGCTTCACCCGAAAGTCGCTTAAGTTCAACGTCGGCGCACGTTTCCACCACGAGATGACCCAACGCACAAAGTGCCGCCGGGCTTTTTTAAAGTTAAGGTTGGGGGTATACGTTTAACCCGCTCGTGAACCAGGGTCGAGCTTCAGCTCGACCCCGTGACCCCGAACCTTTTCCCACATTCGGGTCGAGATTGACGTTCGCACCAAGAGCCTCACGGTGCTCTCCGCAACGACGCCGCCTCTCCGGGAGGGGCTGCCCCGGCCGGCGCCATGGAGGCCTTCATGACGGCGCGGGCGCACAAGAAGAAGCAGGACTACCTCATCGAGCGCATCATGAACCGCCTGGACAAGATCGAGAAGCACACGGACTACGTCGACGACGACGACCGGAGCGTCGCGGCGCACGACGTCGAGGAGGTCTACCACATGGAGGCGGAGCTCGAGAAGGCGGAGACGGGCGTCATCGAGGTGCTCTGCGGGCGCGTCGCGGCGCTGGAGAAGGAGGCGCACAAGATGGACCTGTCGGAGATCGCGAACCTCGCCGTCGCGCGCCTGGACGAGAAGGTCGAGGAGAAGGTGAGCCGCCGCATGAGCCGCATCTCCGAGATCGCCCCCCCGGGCGCGTCGCTGCTGCCCCAGGCGTCCCTCGGCGGCGGGCTGACGACGCTCGACGAGGGCGCGCCGTCCGTGCGCTCCACGGTGACCGCCATGTTCGCGCCGGCCGTCGGCGGCCACTTCGACAAGCAGGGCGGCCAGGACCTCTTCGGCCGCAACCTGCCCGACTTCTCGGAGCTCATCGGCGACTCCCGGACGCTGCACTCCATGGAGAACGAGCTGCGCTACCTCTCGAAGCGCATCGACAACAACATGAACGAGGACGCGGACCGCCAGGTCCAGCAGGACACGCGCGACAAGCAGCAGGACGAGCTCATGCGCATGGAGTTCCTGCGCATGTCGCGGGAGATCGCGAGCCGCGCGTCGAGCGACGACATCAAGAAGCTCAAGTCCATCTTCCAGACCAAGGTCGACGGCCTCATGGACGACTGCAGCGAGCTCGTCCGCGAGTCGGTGCACGACGCGAAGACGGAGATCATGCGCGACATCGACTCCTTCGTCGCGTCGATCCGCTCCGTCGGCGAGAAGAACATGGACGCGACGGCCTCGTTGGAGACGCGCTGCGTGAAGCTCGAGGCGCGCATGAACGAGAACGAGCACGCGGCGAACGACGAGACGAACGTCATCAACCAGCTGAAGATGAACCTGGCGAACGCGGAGCGCGCGCTCGCGGAGCTCCGCGACGACAGCGAGCGGCGCTTCCAGGAGGCCGAGTACGCCGTCGACTGTTTAAAGGAGGAGGTCTCCGACGGCTTCTCCGCGCGTTTGGTCGTCTGCGAGGCGCGGCTCGACGACGACTGCCCCGTGGGGTCGCGCGCGCGGCGCGAGACGGCGCTGGCGAACCTCGAGCGCAAGTACGCGACGAAGGCGGAGCTCGAGGACCTCGACCTCCTCGTGCAGAAGGAGCACGACAAGTACAAGGAGAGCCTCCAGGCGAACCTGAAGGCGACGGAGCAGGCGCGGCGCGCCAAGGAGATGGACACGGCGGCCATGCTCAGCGAGCACAAGTCCATGCTCGGCAAGCACGCGAAGCTGCTCGAGAGCAGCCAGAAGAAGGTGGAGAAGATCGAGAAGGAGAAGAAGACGAAGGAGGTCGAGGAGGCGAAGAAGACGGACGTCTTCGAGAAGAGCACGAAGGAGCTCGAGGAGAAGTTCGAGAAGATGGTCGAGGACGTCTACAACGCCACCCAGGAATCCAAGGAGGCGACGGAGAAGGAGAAGAGGCGCCAGGACGCGGAGCGGTCCGCGCTCGCGGTCCAGATCTACAAGCAGTGCGACTCCCTCAGCGAGCGCATCGACGGCAACCACGCCGCGGGCACGCACGCCCTGGACTCCAAGGCCCACACGCTCCTCGACAAGATCAAGGCCGTCGAGGAGACCGCCGGCCGCACGATCACGAAGGCGGAGGCGTGCGAGGCGGCGATGGACCAGTGCGAGAAGAACGTCGCCGCGGGCCGGAAGCAGGCGCTCCAGGCCGTCGACGAGGCGCGCCGCGGCCTCTTCAGCGACCTCAAGTTCGCCACGGACGAGTTCGCGCTCACGAAGAAGAAGACGGAGCTCGAGGTCGCGCGGCTCAGCGAGGTCATGCTCACGCAGACCAAGGACTACACGGAGGCCATGGCGCGGCTCCACCGGTCCCTCATCGCCCAGGCCATCGCCGTGAAGAAGGTCCAGGCCCAGTGCTCCGCGGTCTGCTTGAAGGACACGATCGGCGACGCGCTCGACGCCGTCCTCGACGAGCACGTGTCGACGCTGTCGCGCCACTGCGTCGAGGCCGAGGCCGCCGTCGCGACGCCCCGGCCCATGGCCCTGCCCTACCACGAGCAGCGCTTCCTCGCCGCGTCCGTGCAGCAGTGCGCGGAGAAGCTCGCGATGCGCGCGGACTTCGAGTGCCTCCGGAAGGTCGTCGGCCACGCGGACCCGGAGACCGACGACACCTGGGACGACCAGCTCGCCGCGAGCCGCGACACGCTCCTGGACAAGTTCGTCAACGAGGTCCTGGACCGCTGCAAGCAGGTCCACCCGACGCAGGACGCGCTCGCCAAGGCGACGCGGCACCAGTTCGTCGCGCGGCTCGAGCTCTGCATCAAGATCGGCATGTCCAAGCACGCCTCCGTGCAGACGAACCACACGCTCTTCGGGCGCACGAAGCTCGGGCCGACCTGCGTCGCCTGCGACCGGCCCTTCGGCGGCCGCGACGAGTCCGACGACCTCCTGGACAAGCTGTCGAAGAAGCCCCGGGACCCGGGCGAGGCGGCGCTCGCGGCCCACGACGGCCAGGCCTTCGCCGGCGTCAAGAAGCCGTCCTACGCCGCGCGCGGCGGCGGCTTCCGCCAGCCGAAGCGGAAGAAGGAGCCCCAGAACGACGTCATCTCCGTGTCCATCACGGAGTCGCGGTCGACGCCCCACCTCCAGGCGCCGGGCTTCCTCAAGCCCAAGACCCAGGAGCCCGACGAGATGTTCTTCCCGAAGATCGTCGACTAAGGCGCCTAGATCGGCCCCGCGCGGCGCGCGGCCCTATCGCGCCTGGGCCTTGCCCGTGACGCCGAGGGCCTCGTTGAGCTTCGAGAGCGACTTCTGGTGGAGCTTGTTCTGGTCGTTGACGCCCTGGAGGATGGAGACGATGTTCGTCTCGAGGACCATGCCCGCCATGACGATCTCGTCCAGGATGTAGTGGACCTTGTCGCTGTGGAAGATGAGGTCCAGCTCGCAGACGTTCTCGAAGCACTTGTCCAGCGCCTCGACGAAGACCTGGATGAGGTCCAGGATGCCCAGGTCGCTCTCGAGCTCGTCGACGGCGAAGACGAAGTAGAGCGTCGCGTAGTGGCGGTAGATGAGCTTCGTCGTCGCGCCCCACTCCGGGATGCTCCCCTCGAGGTAGTTGCAGAACGAGTCGGGCCGCTGGGCGACCTGCTGGAAGACCTTGCGCACGACCTGCTGCTGCGCGTCCTCGGCGCTGTAGCCCTCCTCGTGCACCGACTGGAAGAACTTGCAGATGCGCGCCTGGCCGTTGTTGTTCACGATGATGATGCCCTTGATCATGGCGGCGGCGCGCTTCCTTCGGTGGGGGGCGGAGACAGGCCCGAGGGAGCCCGCGGGGCGGCGCGCGGGGTCCTGCGCCGCGACCGCGACGACGTCGGCGTCGGCGGCCGGGGCTGCTTCGAAGCTGCGCAGGGGCCGGCGGCGCGCTCGCGCTTCGCGGAACCGGCAATCCGCGACGCGTGACTCCCAACATCGTAGCCCCGCTCGTCGCGCCGGCGCCACTCGAACCGGCCGCGCTCCGATCACGCCCAGACCACGTCGTCCCCGCACAGGCACACGGCTCTTTCCTACGGGTAACGCGCGGCTTGCGGGGGCGGGGCCTGGGCCTTGGACGGCTGCTTCTGGGAGGCGGCCTTGGCGGTCGTGGGCTTGCGCGCGTTCAGCGCGTCGCCCTGGGCGGCGTGCTTGAGGGCCTTGAGCTCGCCGTTGGCCTTGGCGAGCGCGGCCTTGAGCTTCGCGGCCTCGGCCTCCGCCGCCGCCGCGCGCGCCGCCGCGGCCTCCGCGGCGGCGACGGTCGCGTCGTTGCCGCCCTCGAGCTCCCGGACGCGGGCCTCGGCGGCGGCGAGCTTGTCCTTCAGGGCGGCGACCTCGGCCTCCAGCTGCGCGACGTACGCCGTCGCGTTCGCGACCGCCGCGTCCGACTTTTTCACGCTCTCGCGGAGCTCCGCGCGGAGGTTGCCCGTGGTGACGCGCATCTGGCGCAGCTGCTCCAGGAGCACGCGCTCCCCGGACTCGAACTCCTGCGCCTCGCGCTCGAGCCGCCGGCACGTCGCCGCGAACTCGCTCTGCTTAGAGTTGAAGAGCCAGGACAGGGGGCGGCCGCCGGCGACGGCGGCGGACGCCGCCCAGAGGCAGAGGCGCAGGAGCGATCGGTTCATGGCCGTTCGGGGGAGCCGCGCGGGTGCGCCGTGCGTATCCCCGAGCAACTTGGCGCCCAGCCCTCGCCACTCTCTCCGGCCTGAATTGCCGGCAAACTTAGGCTTCAAGGAGGCTTCAATGTGGAAAGAGCCGCCTCTCCGAGGCCTTCTCCGGCGGCGACACGCCCTCCGACCGACGGTTAATCCGGCGGCGTC